ACAGACACACTCAGAGGTGTGGAATCCCTCAGACATCCTCAGTGCCATTGAGTGACGAGGGTGAGACATCCTGGGTGAAGGAGCTCCTGCAGCACAGTGTCCATCTCCACTCTCTGGTCACTCACACATGTGCTTCATTGTCCTTCTGGAAAGCTCTACTCCTTAGCTTTACTTCAGTATATTCCATAGTTTTTGAAGTTGGGGTTGTTTGGGATGTTTATTTTTCTAATTTCCATAGATTTTATGTTCAACCTAGAATATGTAGGCCTTGCTGTCTAGAGGAAACACTGCTAGTGATTCCATCCTCAAGACAGAGCTTCTTACACTGACAGTGGACATTTCAAAGCCTTAGAAACATGAATAGGTCATGACATGTGATTGTGTGCATTAAAACATAATTATTGATTACAAATATTGAAAAATCATTATTTTTATTTTCAGAGATGTTCATTGCATCACCATTCTGGAGCATGCCATCAAGCCTCCTCCTACTGAATCATATCTCCAGCCCCATACCTTGCTTTCTACATAATATACATTAGATGTTGTCCTGTTGTATATAGACACTTCTATTTTACATTGGGTGCTCTCCAATGCATTGTATGCCTTATGGAATTGATTTCATATCCAATATGTCCAATATGCTTTCTCAGAGTTCATTCAATTAAATTTGTTTTAACATTTGTTTGTTTGTAGCCATGCATATTCAACTGTCCATGTATAGAAGTCAAAAGTGAAAATAAAAGAGCCAATCAATGCTCCTCTTCCCCCATGTTCATTCTGATAAATTGACATTAGGTGGAAAGGCTTAGAAAGCGGCACACTTACACACCACCCTTCATTTATAAAATGATAATTAGGAGGCCAATGGAACAGTTAACTGGGGAAAGGTACTTGCTACCAGTTCTGATAGCCTGAGTTCAATGCCCAGGTCCCACATGATGGAAGAGGCAACCTGACTTCTGCAAGTTCACCTCTGATTTCCACAATCCCAAAGTAGCAATTTTATGCTCGCTCCCCAAATGCATACACCCTCACTAACTATGATAAAAATATAATGAAAGCAGGTAATCACAGTATCATTTACACACAGTAAAATTGATGAACTTTTAGCCACACCACCTTGTACAACAGTGTGTATAAGCCTGATGCCATTACCCTAGATTTAGTGCATCTGCATCATCATCAGAAGTCCCTTTGTTCCTTTGCCATCATGAACTCACACTTTCACCATCAGGTCCTTAAAATCAAAACCTTTTCTGACACTCAATCCCACCACAAGGGCACTTGCTCAACCAGGTTCATTGCACCTCTGTTCATAACAGCCAGAACCTGGATATAACCTAGATGTCCATCAATTGAAGAATGGATAAAGAAAATGTAGTACTTTTACACAATAGAGTAGTACTCAGCTATTCAAAACAATGACATGAAATTTGCAGACAAATGGATAGAACTAGGCAAACTCATCCTGAGTGAGGTAACCCAGAGATATGTATGCACTCGTAAGTGGATACTAGCTGTAAAGTAAAGGAGAACCATGCTACAATCCACAGACCCTGAAAGGCTAAGTAACAAGGAGAGCTCAAGTGGGGACACACAAATCTCCCTGGGAAGGGGAAACAATAGATTTTGGAGATAGACTGGGGGCACATGAGGATGGGAACAGGAGGGATCAGGTGGGGCTGGGAAGAATGGAAGGAGAGAGTACGGGGAGAGATGACTGGAATTGGGGTCAGGGATACTACCTTTTCCATTTGGGTAAATTCCTGGATTCACACAGCAGATGCCCCCTTCTTGCTTTTGTGACTTTCTTTTCTTGCTTATCTTTTAATTTTGTCCTCTCATTTTATTTCTGGTATAATATTTCTTTTCTCTTTATATATTTTTAATTTAAAAAATTAAAATGTAGTTATATTATTTTCCCCTTTTCTTTCCTCCATCAAACTCCAATCATGTATCCCCCCTGCACTCCCTCTTGGAATCATGGGCTATTTTCGTTGTTATTTTTACTCACATATAAAGGTACATAGATATATAAACACAACAGGTTTAGTGTTATTTGTATGAATATGATTTCAGGGCTGACCAATTGGTATCAAATAACCAACTGGGGCCTAGTCCCTAGAAAAGAGAAGACAATTTCTCTGACTCTCAGCATTTCTTTAAGGCCTATAATTCTTCATCTGTTGACTGGGGCCCCGGGAAATCTCCCCTTACATGTTAGCATGTCCACTGGTGTTAGACTTATTTAATCTTGTTTAGGCAGCCCTATTGTAGAGGTATCATTGGTGAACCTTCCCATCTCTATGAGACATAATCTCACAATAGATTTCCTGATCATCTTGTTTTTACATTCTTCCCACAATCTCTTCCAAAATGCTCACTGAGCTTTAAGTGCAAGCATTATGTTGTAGAATTTCAGCTTGACTGGCCACATACAGCCACTCATTCTCTGCATTTTAACCAGATGCAGTTTTCTGAAAAGCTCCCTATCTTTTGCAAAAAGAAAGTTCTTTGATGAGCATTAACAGCTATACTTATCTGTGAATATGAGCGTAAATATTTACAATAAGGTTAGGAATTATTCTGGCTGAGTAAACTAGCCCAGGGTTGTAAATATAACCAACCATCTTATTAAATAAGAAACATAGAATCAATGTAAAAGAGAAAGCCAAGAGGTCAGAGCTCAGAGCTAAAATCTTACCCTTCCCCCTGCGGTGCTCCTACCTCTCCAAAAGAGAGCTACTTCCTGTGTGTTTGTCTTTAATAGTCTTTCTGTTCTTCCTGCTCATTGGTTGTAAACGAAAACACATGACTGCCTTGTCACTGCCTGTAAGTACAGCCCTCCAGGTCTTAAAGGCATATGTCTCCAATGCTGGTTGTATCCCTGAACACACAGAGATCTACCTAGCTCTGTCTACCAAGAGCTGGGATTAAAGGTGTGCGCTACCACCGCCACGCTCTTGCTATGGCTCTAATAGCTCTGACCCCCGGGCAACTTTATTTTTTAACATACAATTAAAATCACATTTCAGTACAAATAAAATACCACCATACAGGGTAATTCCCTAGGTTTCCCGTCATAGGCATGATTTCCCTCTTGTTAAGCATACCTGAAGTTCAATTAGAGAGGTGTTTGTTACTACCAAGATAGAGTGCCATTATTGTACCTTTACATTTAACATTCTATTCTGGTCATTTCTGTGGTTCATAAGTATTAAAGCTACATAGGAATATCACAGTTCCTGGTACTATGAAAGCCACTTCTAAAAATCAAAAGGCTTTTAAGTCAAATCTAACTTGATTCCTCTATTTCTTGAGTCTAAGGCAAATGGTGTCATAAGTAATAGGGACACACCTTTCACCTCTGGGAGGCAATTAAGTCCAACAGCAATAGCTTATATTGTTTTAGAAGTCTCTTGAACTCTCCTGACCAACAACTAGTAATAGTGTTTCTCACGCCTGTTATTTGTTTTTTTTTTTTTTAATCATATAGCCCTTATAGCTCCTTCATTTGGTTGTTTTTACTGTGCTTCAGAGGTGTGGCTGTATTATTTTTTCAATTTCATTTATTTCAAGGAAGTTTTAAAATTTCTGTATTGATTGCTTCTTCATCCTATTCATCATTCAGTATTGACTTGTTTAATCTCCAGGGGTTGAGTTTATGTACTTATTAGAGGTTTCTTTGTCCTCACTTTTGCTTCTTATTACATTCTGGTCAGAAAGGGTACAAGAGGATATTTCAGCCTTTCAAAGAATTTGTTAAGATTTGGTTGGTGCACCAGGATGTGGTCTATTTTCGAGAAGCTTCTATGGGCTCCTGAGTAGAATGTTTATTTTTGATGTTTGGATGAAACAGTCTGTAAATATCTAAGTCTATCTAAGGTATGATGTCATTTAATTCTGCTGTTTCTCTGTTTACCTTTTGTGCAGATGACCTGTCTATTGAAGAAAATAGGGTCCTGAAACCACCAACTGTCTTAGTTATGGTTTTCATTGCTCTGATAAAATACCAAGACCATAAGAGACATGAAGACGAAAGAGTTTGCTTCATTTCCACTTCCACGTTGCAGTCCATCATGAAAGGAAGTCATGACCAAGAGGCAGGAATGATGTACATTCCATGGAGTAACATCACTTACTGGTTTCTTCCTCATAGATTGCTCAATCTGCTTCATTATAGCACCCAGGACCACCAGCTCATGGGGTACACCACCCAGTGGGACAAGCCCTTCCATATCAATCACCCATTAAGAAAATGCCCTTCAGACTTGCCTACAGCCAGGTCTGATGGACACATTTTTCTCTACTGTGGTACTCTCCTTCCAGATGACTAATTTGTGCCAAACTGACACAAAACTAGCCAGGACACCTACTATTAAAGTTGAACTTAATCTGTGCTTTAACTCTAGTAGTATGCTTTTCATGAAGGCGAGTGCACCAGGGTTTGGTGCATGTATGTTTAAGATCATAATGTCTTCCCAGTTAATTGTTCCCATGGTTAGAATGAAATGAACTTAATATTTTCTCATTAGTTTTAGTTTGCACTCTCTTTTTCTAGAAGGTAAATCTCTGTGGGCTCCAGGCCAGCCTAGTTGACATATAGAGTTCCAGGACAGACAGGACTACCTAGAGAGACCCTGTCTCAAAAAAGGGTTATTAAATACTGTTGATGCTGTCAGAACAGCTAGTTCTATGTTGAGCTTCTGGTGAGTCTTCATTTTTAACATCTTTAATGCTTACTATGCATGATCAAAACTTTGGGAGCAGGCTATTAGATGGGCTATTAGACTTATGCATAGCATCCTTGAGCACAGAACCTGTCAGCTAAGTAGCCCTTTTGTAGGCAATTAACCTGGCTGTTTGGACTCTCCAGTCACTACAGACTACCACTACAGCCACAACTGAAGATGTGCTCCAGTGTTCTGAATGTCCTTACAAAGCAGAGTGGACTTTAGAAATCCCTTCTTACCCAGTCAGATGGGAAGCATCTCCCTAGGTGTGCCTGAAGAAGCCTTGTGTTTGATGTTGAGGGCTGGGCTATGAATGGTACCAGCATGGTCCTTTCTTTAGATGAGGGATGTGCACACACCTTTGCTATACTAGCCTCTGAGTAGACAAGCAAGTTGCTCTGTTCATTTTTTCCAGTCATCCTGGACAGTCCCTCCTATGCTGCCCTCTAGTGCTGAAACTCAGGATTGGTAAAAGTCTTCTTCCCAATGTTTTTCCTTGTCTAGTTTTAACCTCTAGCATTAGCAGAGCAGGTTGAGCTGTCAGTATGGAGAGAGGAAGAGAAACAAGGGGCCACTGTGGGTTACTGATGGTAAGATTACCTGGTTGGCTTTGTATACCATTAGCACCAAGGAAGGAATGACGCAGAGATGAATAAGAAATAAATAAGTCACAGAAGAGGGATTTGGTACATTGCCTATGTGGGAGGGGCTTACTTTGAAGTCTGGTCTGGTCTCTCTTGTACCCACTCTCCATTGTCCCTGCCTGGGTGCACTATAAATTGAATAAGGGATGTCTAGTCTTTTCTTTTTTTCTTTTTTTTTTGTATTTTATAATTTAATTTAATTTTACATGGCAGCCACAGATTCCCTTGTTCTCCCCCCTTGCCCCCCACCCCCCACCCCGGCTTCCCCTCAGCCCAACCCTCATTCCCATCTCTTCCAGGGCAAACACTCCCCTGAGGATTGAGTACAACCTGATAGATTCATTCCAGGCAGGTCCAGTGCCCTCCTCCCAGGCTGAGCCAAGCATCCCTGCATAAGACCCAGATTTCAAACAGCCAGTTCATGCAATGAGTACAAGACCCTGTCCCACTGCCTGGATGCCTCCCAAACAGATCAAGCTAATCTACTGTCTCACTTATCCAGAGGGCTTGATTCAGTTGGGGGCTCCTCAGCTATTGGTTCATAGTTCATGTGTTTCCATTAGTTTGGTTATTTGTCCCTGTATTTTATCCAACCATGGTCTCAACAATTCTCGCTCATATAAACCCTCCTCTTTCTCACTAATTAGACTCCTGGAGCTCCACATGGGGCCTGGCCATGGATCTCTGCATCCGGTTCCCTCAGCCACTGGATGGGGTTTCTAGCATGACAGTTAAGGTGTTTAGCCATTCTATTATCAGAGTAGGTCACTTCGGGCTTTCTCTCACCCATTGCCAGTAGTCTATTGTGGGGGTATCTTTGTGGATTTCTGTGGGCCTCTCTAGCACTTTGCTTCTTCCTATTCTCATGTGGTCTTCATTTACCATGGTCTTTTATTCCTTGTTCTCCCTCTCTGTTCTTGATCCAGCTGGGATCTCCTGCCCCCCCCCCCAAGCTCTCTTTCCCTCGACCCTTGCCCATCATTACCCCCACTCACGTCCATGTTGTTCATGTAGATCTCATCCATTTCTCTGTCATTGGGTGATCCCTGTGTCTTTCTTGGGGTCCTGTTTTCTAGGTAGCCTCTCTGGAGTTGTGAGTAGGAGTCTAGTCATCTTTGTTTTACATCTAGTATCCTCCTATGAGTGAGTACATACCATGTTTGTCTTTCTGAGTCTGGGTTACCTCACTCAGGATGATTTTTTCTAGATGCATCCATTTGCCTGCAAATCTCATGATGTCATTGTTTTTCTCTGGTGAGTAGTATTCCATTGTGTATATGTGCCACATTTTATTTATCCATTTTTCATTTGAAGGGCATATAGGTTGTTTCCATGTTCTGGCTATTACAAACAATGCTGATATGAACAGAGCTGAGCAAGTACCCTTGTGGTATGATTGAGCATTCCTTGGGTATATGCCCAAGAGTGGTGTAGCTGGGTCTTGGGGGAGATTGATTCCCAATTTTCTAAGAAAGAACCATGTTGATTTCCAAAGTGGTTGTTTAAGCTTGCATTCCTACCAGCAGTGGAGGAGAGTTCCCCTAGCTTCACATCCTCTCCAGCATAAGGTATCTTCAGTGTTTTTTTTTTTCTCATTCTTAAAGTTTTAATAATCTCCCACCATCAAAGTAATAGTAGTAGTAGTAGTAGTAATAGTAATAGTAATAATAATAGTAATAATAATAATAATAATAATAATAATAATCAGTCCCACTGCTGTCACCAAAGGATTGCTACTAAAGTCACTCATCTTTATTAGCATCCTCCTTTTACATCCAGTTAAGTGCGTGTGTCTATTGTCAAGTGGATATGCCATTTTATATTTTCCCAATGCAGTTTTTCCAACACATTTATTATTTAATAGTCCATTCTTGTGCTGCTGACTTAAAATATTTATTAATTTTCTATATTCTTGTGTCCATTTTGCATTCTATTCCATGCTATGAGTTTATTCGTTGATACCCATTATATTATTATATGTTTTTTTTGTGATATATATTTTTTATTTTACAATACCATTCAGTTCTACATATCAGCCATGGGTTCCCCTATTCTCCCCCCTCCCACGCCCTCCCC